ATAATATTACTTTAAGACTCTGTTAACTGAGGTTTTGTACTAAGCACATTCGAATAACTTTGTAGAGAATAAAATCTTCGTCCTGCCTGCTAATAACTATAACAATATTTAGAAGGAATGCGCGTCGCATAATATCAGATGCAAGAGATTCTCTTTTCTTATTACTGACTTATTATTTCCAATCTATCTACCTGTATATATAAAACTGACTTACAGTAAAACCTAAACCCAAGAATCGTAAAACAAGACGAAATGTATTATGACATAAGATAAATATTAATTAATAACATAAAATGTGTTCTGTATTAAAGTTATTTAGTTTTTTCGTGGCCTTCAAAAATATTACCCGCTTGACATTTACGCTTACATTTAAAAAGCATTTTTATTAAATAAAACATAAAATTGTAATACACAATAAGGTTAATGATTAAAAATAATTTTATATGTTTATTATGTTTTATTTTATCAATTAATTTTTGCCTTTGTCGTCGAATTTAAGTTGCCTTTCGACTTGTTCATAACTTAGATTTTTGAATCGTCGTTACTATCCTTCAGTAATGTTACTTACGTTAAACTTTATAATCCTATTAAGAAATGGACTTAACTTTAAATATACTTCTTAACTAATCTATTAACTGAAATTTGGTTTAAAACGATACAAAGCTTTTATTACTTTATAAAATAATTTTCTCACTTGTGTGTCCAAATAATCAACAGTTCCTGCAACCATTTTTAAATTAATGTAATCGAAAAACAATTGTCAACTGAAACGAAAAAAGTCCTCAGGCGTATTTATAATGAAATATTGATTTTTCAAAACGAACGAGAGACGGCAATATGTATATGTATTATAGAAACATCCACGGATATGTAAAAAATACAATGGTAAGGCAACAATACAAAATTCACATAATTTAATATTTAAAACACAACACAGGAAAAGTATCGTATCCATGACCTTGAATTGCCTCGCCGTATTTGTTAACTGTTATTTTGTTATACGAGGCTAAGTATCAAATCAAATTAAACAATTCAAGATCGTTATGCCGAATTTTAAAATAATTTATTTATGTTATGGCCAACGATTCCTTTATGAAGACGAGCTTTAAGCTTGCCTTCAGCTTAAGTTCCTTCTCCCTACAAAAGTAAATAAAAGCTTTACAAAGTTTACTTATAAAAATAAAGTATGTTGTAAATATTTTAATATTTTAAGTATACGAATAAGATAATACGACCTAAATGATTACAGAAGCATCTCCTTGTAGCCACGCTGAAGTTCCCTTTAAGACTACAAGAATGCATTAAAATCGATAATAGCATAATTCATAAAAGTGAAATAAAATAATTGCATGTAAGTCAAGAATTAATATTATAATTTTAATTATGAAGAAACTGATAATTAGTACATCGCTCGTATCATACTCGGTCACTAAGAAAAATTCTAAACATAATCTCACCACAAAGAAATCCCCGAACGTCACAAAAAGTTGCGTATCTCTATGAATAATGAATATACACATTTCATATGCTATGTTCAATTTCAATCTTATTTTAATGCTCAATAGAAACCTTTTTTAATTAAAAACATATGAAGGAACCGTCCTATAAAATGGTGATGTCTTACAATTCCGAGCCTCGATGTAAGATAATAAAACCCTATAATGGATTTGCTCTTGTGGTTGTTCACTTACAAAAAAAGGGAAGACCTGCCTACTCCTTGGTGTTCATGGGATCTGTTCATAGCGTTTCCTATACGAAATAAAAAAAATGCGAAATCTCAACCTCTGCGGTGAACCTGCCTTTATTATTAATTGCATAAAAGCCTTTCATTTAAAATTGTAGTGCAGGTGATTTACATAAACGAAACTAATTTTATTTAATGGCTAAATTTAATTATACAAGTAAATAATTCGATATAGCTATGTCAACATTTTTTGTTACAATGTCACATCCATATTATTATCAACCTTCTCGAAAGAAATTTTATCCCCCGTAGAGATTTCTGTCGGACATTGCCGCGTCGAAGCCATGTTACGTCGATGTATCAGTGTGGCACAGGCAAAGCACACAGATGTATATTAGTACGAGTGTGTGGGCGTACAAATGTGTGTGTGTGTTTCTGTACAGAATGGGAAGTGAACCCTTTACGTGGGGGAAACCGTTTTTTATTTGCGCTCGGACAGCGGCAACAGGTAGAAAGGATGATCGTTAATTTTTAAAGGACACACTGATCTTTGTATTTTTTACGCGCGGTCACTGTTTATAGTGAGATAACTTTGATTAAAAGGAGAAACACGCATTTTTTACTGGTGTGCAAAATATTAAAATATATAAGAAACTCGTTTGACTCGATCGAAATTCTTATTTTTTTACCAGAAGCCATCAATATAGACATGACGTCATGAGCCCGCAAGTTGCTACAGGAATAACCGAGATCCCGTTGATGTCTTTTACTTTGGGTTTTAAAGCCTCCCGACATCTCAAGTTTGTTGACCCTATCCGTAGTTATTTTGTTGCCATTATCATTAATTTAATTTAGTGTTTATGAGTTGCAAATGTTTTTAATAATATTAAAATGTATCGTTGATTGTAAAAACATAACAATTCTTTGCACGCCGAACGCTTTCGTTATAAAAGTAAGGGAATATTAGGGTCCTCGAAATACCTTTTCGGAATCGTGAACGTTTTTTAAAGAATGTAAAATCTTCCTTAAATGTTCACGAAAATGGAAAGAACCTTATAAAATATCTACATAACTGTTATGACTCCCCAAAAATTGTTTACCGGGCAAATAATTATACATTAAATAAAGATTTGATCGAGAACGCAAGCGATGCTAAACTCATCTCGAGGGCTCGCAGCAACGAGTATAAGGCAATAAAATAAGACTGCGCCGGGGCGGGGAACAGCGGCAGGGCGCGGGGCAGGGCGCAGGCTGTCGCCTTGCGGACTCGCCGTAAGTGACGAGAGTCGGCGGGTCAGTAGCTGTAGCGGTCCACCGAGTGGTTTTAAAATTTAAACTGCGAATTGAATTAACTACACCGTAGATAAATAGCAGAGTTACTATTGGTAAGTTTAAATTTAATGCTAGTTTTTCTACCAGTGTATATATTAAGTACGATCCGTAATAATTCTTGTGTAATGTTTTTAGGTAAAATTTACAACAAAGCCTAGCAAACATTTGATAGACATATCGTATAATCTAACATTTTACGTTGTTATTTTGGTAATAAGAAAATGTTCTGTGAGCGCTTAAGACGTGTACCGTGGCACAACAAAAAGTCGTCATTAAAGTGTTGGAGGCGCGGCGCGGTGCGGCGGCGAGGCGGCGGCGGGTGAGGCCTGCTGCCCGCTGCCCGCAGCCTCTCGCCGCGACCTAAACGATTCAGCCGAGTTTTTATCACAGAACTGGTAGGTACCGAGCCATATCTGGCTTATTTATTTTTACTCGTTTTTTATTATTTTATGTCCTTATAAAAACTTTTATCAGTATCTTAAAGAAAAACACCATATAAATGCTCCCTCATTAATACTAAAAATATTTCTCTAAACTACCACCGTACGTAGGTATATAATGTCTATAAACATCAAAAGCTTATCTTATTTAAATTGTAGTAATTGTTTCATAAGCAACGGTAATTACTATATGTGTTTATTCCACCAGATTTTGAAACAATGACATAATTGCAACGCTGAGAGTTGCACTAACATGTATATTATGAATGACATGTGCATGACGTGTTTTTGTCGTGTTTACGTTCAATGGCTCTTAACTATTATGTTAAGCTCAAATGTAGGCAAGTAGACGAGTACGCGACGTCGTGAGCGATGCGAAGCAGCTCTGAATACGCTTAGCTTTGCGTCGTTTTCCGTGAATTCCTAAAAATAGCAGACGTTAGATCATCATTGTCCGTGGATTTCAATTTAGGCAACATGTAATATGCGCTATTCAAATCTTTAAATATAACAATGCATGTAGTAAATTAAAAAGGCATATTATTTTTTAGCTCGTAATGATGTTGTTGTAGTACATATTATTAAGCAAAGTGTTTAAAAGTAAAATGTGGATAAAATGCGTTAACCGACATCAATTTTATCGTTTTTCATTGCAACATTTGACAACTTTTGTGATGTTTCTAAGCAATGTTAAATGAAACATGTCTTAACGAATAAGTTTGAAGAAATATAAATATCATAATGAAAAAACTGTGACTTTATTTATTGGGTGAACATCTCAGCATCAGAGTGTGATCGGTGCTGGCGCGGACGGTCTCGCGGCAAGTTCAAGGTGAGCTCGTCGCTCCGCCCACACGGGCCACTCGGCTCTGCCGCTCCTAGCGTGCCGCGCGACCGTTACACTGCGCGCCCTGGCTGGACCTCCTCGCTCGTACCTCGCTCGCGCATCCACGCACACCACTCGCTTGCACAAACAATCTATTGTTTCTAACAATGCAAACCGATCCGAGGAGGTGTTAACGCACTAACAAATTAATACTCGCCTCCGATTAAGTATCGACTAGTCGATTTATCATTACCACACTAAACAAATATAACCGCCGCACTGCTGTCTAAATTGTACGTTCTATCGTTAATATGTAGTGTAAATTTAAAGGGACAAATGAATTCGAAGTGACAATTTCGTTGCCAAGTTTAAATTAAGGTAATTACGAGTTTTTTTCATAATAGGATTTTTTTGTTGCCATGCAGAAATAATAACTATATCGATTTCAATAAGTTTTAAATGTTGCTCATGGAAATTCCAATCGTAAAACTATAGATATCTGATACAACAATTTTTGTCGAGATAATGTCATAAATTACGCGAAGGCGATAAACTTTTAGGCAGCTTAATAACATACGCGTAGATTCGATAGGTATTCGAAATTTTTATGATATACACACGAGTTCATAATGCTAGCGTGCTAAGTACATGCTTACTTAAGCCGCTAGTTTCTCGAATATTGAGGTAAATAAGATAGAAAAAGCGTACAATGAATTACCTGGGTATTGTGATAACTTGTCCCAATTCGTCAACGACGTGATCGGCTAGCACGAGCACGGTGCCCTGACCGGGCGCGCCGACCACCACGGACACGCCGCCATCAACGAGCTGCCCTCCGCCGCCGACCAGCTGCCCGTCCTCCAGCTGCCCGCTGATCATCTCCACTCGTTTCTGATCCGGCGTCGTTGTATATATAACAGTCTGCTTGTCATCCTCGTAGATGAGATCGATTGGGGTCTTCTCGTCGATGGAATCCATGCCCTGGTCGTAAACGTCCGGCTGGACCTGCACCTTGTTGTCGGGCGCATACGCGGCGAGCTCGTGCGGCGAGTGGCGGTAAGAGTGCGCTTCGGGCGGGTAGCCGTCGTCGGAGTCCATCTCGACCTTGTGCGGGTAGTAGTCGTGTGCCGGCTGCACAGGGGTCATGGTTGCGAGTACGGCATGCGCGGGCGCGGGGGAGCGCGGTGCGGAGGCGGGAGAGCCAGCGCGCGGGCTGGCCTGCGGCGACGCCATGTTGCGGCCTCGCCGTGGACGGCCGGGGACCGCCAGGGACCGCCCCGCTCCACACGAGACGATCCCGATATACGCTTCTGAAATTTATTACACTATTCAATTATATTATTGAATTTTCTAATTCACGAATAATTAAAAGACCGTGTACCATGACGTGCTCGTACGACATTCATAAATTGTCTTGCTTGTAAATCTTATATCATTGTGAAACTTTATATTTCTCCCTTGCTCAACGACTTAAAAAATTCTTTATATGACACTTGATCATTGTAAGCCTTTAGTTGATTGTCTTAAATGTAAGTAGTGCCCTTAATATTCCTAGACGATACCTACACCCCGAGTTGCGAACAATATACCTATGACAACAACGAAACAGCTGACAGGGGTCCAGTTAGAAGAACGAGTATCAAGTAGCACCTGATAGTCGAGAAGCGCCCGAACTCGTTCAGGAGCGGCTCCGGCCGCGGTCGCGCACCAAACCACCTCCGAACGGTACAAACTGGAAACGACTATTACAAGCACGTGCTTGTCTTGTCGAACCCGTCATTGTACAATAACCAAAACAAACGTCACTGCGCAATCTTGACACATTTGAACCAAATTAAAAATTGTTGTTAACGATTCTTATTAGGATCACCCATACATTCCTTTACATTATGTTACAAACATCATGTTATAACAGTGACAGATAAAGCAAAAAAAAGAATAATGATCCCAGCTTTGGCAATTTTCAATTCATAACGTATGAATGTATAGGATAGTTTCTTAAACATTACAAGTAAGTTTTAATTGCTTGATAATTAATAAGTTGATACTTTATGGATATTTTTATTTTTACTTTACTTTAGAAAACTAATGTAAAATTTGTAATTGTTGTTGTCTAGTATCGCTGGATACCTACATAACTAATCATTTGTCGTTTAAAGAGTTTTATTAGCAATGCTTGATTGGCTTTTATGGTTCAGTGTTAAAATCTTGACTTTAAAAATTTTAAGAATCGAGATAGGATTCAAACAAAAAAATTCCAATATGATTCTTCACAGTCATAGTTCATACGATTACTAATAACAAACGCCACATACTCATGAGTACTTCAGCCTCGCCGCGGGCAAAAGGAAAAATAAAAGAGTAAAAAGGCTTCGCCGCGAAGCTGGGATGTCGAAGCATACTCTCGCACACATCGACGTATGAAGCTCGCCGAGCACTGCGCTACGGCAGGGAATAAACACACATTATTCAGCCACACAGTACATTCGCTCAGTACGTTGCTCATACTCACATACACAATACATTTACTTTTATAACTATCTGATATTAATATTCGAAAAGAATCAATCACAATAGCTACACTTTCGTCGGCGGAGATACAAATAAGACGGTGCAACCGAACAAAGAAAAGCACGTCACGATCCGATCTTTTACGGACGACATCGCAAATGACGCCGCGATGCGTTGCCGGTGTAATACTATCGTTATCACTTGCGAGCAGAGGAGACAGACGAGCACGTCATTGCACAGGTACCGAGGTCGGGGGCGGCGGCAGCAGCGTCCTGGCGCAGGCCGTCACGCACGCGCGTCAAACTAGTATCGTGACGTCACGGCCCGCCCGGCAAAATTACAAAACCGGCCGGGCGGCCGCGCCGGGCGCGCCAGCAAGCGGTGTTGCGGCGCGGCGCAGTGAGGAACGCGCTGCCGCCAGACCCCGACGCGCCACCGGCGCCACACGTACCGTGGGCGGCGTCACGACGCTGGTGTGGCGCAGAAGCGCGGCAAGCGCGGGCGCGGGGACTCGAGCACGCGACGAGCGGCGCCTCGGAGCGCGGGCGCAGGTGCTCTGAGCGCGGCAGCCTCCGCGCGCCGGCGCCGCGCCTCCCGCGTCCCGCGCCGCCCGCGCACCGCTCTCGCACGCACCGAAACGACCAATTTATCTTCCGTGCATGCTGGCCCTCCTACCCGAGGACGTTGCCCAGGGTGTCTCGTTGCCACTCCGCACCTTTACGAACGACCTTCCCGATACGATGAATCGTACGCATGGCGTCTTTGTTTAAATAGGAAAAAAATATAAATATGCAGACAAGTATATATCGATGGATATAAACGAGATGTGAGTCGTTACTTTTTAAAATGAATTTTGAAAGCTGTGTTCACGGCCGCAATGACATGTTGTGCGGCCACTCCTGGCAGCGCCCGAGGCGAGGATCACAGTCTCGTCACCCGCGCCCGCCGCCCGCAGCCCGCCTCCCGCCTCAGCTTCCACAGACCAGATCGTAACAGCCGTTACAAAATATGAAGCTTAAACTTACGCAATAACTCCTTACTTTCTCGAGCTTAAATGAAAATGCTATTGCGTGCATTTACAATATTCTGTTAAAATAATAAATTACCACTTTGCAGTATTTTGCTCAACTTAATATTTTATAGGAAAAACGTTTTATACGAGTAGCACTGTATCTTTATAGTTTAGACTATATAATTAATAAATATTTATTTTACAAAAGATTTTAAATCGAATAATTTTTTTGAAATGAATTTACCAAAAGGAATCACAATACATAAGAAATTAAACCGCAAATGATTTTCAATTTATGATAAATAATAATTAAGATACTCGTACTTTAATTGCATTATAATTATTATACAATTCGTTCTGCATTTAAAACATTTTTTCCTTTTTATTAAAAAAGTTAAATTAGTTTGTAATCATTATATTCTTACTATTGATAATATCTGTTTTGTAGTATAGGTACTGTTAACTTAATCTGCTCATTGGCTTAAAAATGTAAACTTAGCAATTTCGATGTTACTTTTAAATACTAGTCATGAAAAGAGTTGTAATATATTTTTATATATGTAATATATTCAAATTAATAAATATTGCTGCGTTTAATTAGAAATCTTTTGTGTTTCAGGCAAAAAAATAAGCCATTTAATGCACTATAAGTAATTATATCGGCAGATTCATCAATCTTTTAAACTAAGAAGGCTACCAAACATATAGACGCAACTTATATACTTTAATGGTAGGACACGAATCTGGTTCACTTACGTTAAAATATTACATAAGTTGTTGGCAATAAACAAGACACCTGCTGTTACACGATGTAGAAAAGACATAATTCTGGGTATTGCTGTTAAGATGTTACACAACTTTCGTCTTTTGTAATCATGAAAAATATCTGGCGTCTTTTTGACATCACAAGGTCATAAATTAATGAAATAATTATAGTAGTTACCAATGTGACGGTCAAATGTAAGTATGGAGATAAATCATGATAAAACCGGTACTTAAGTATAAAAAATTCAAATTCGATCATCGTCATACACATATGAAGTATGTTATGGAAATTATTGTCCTTATAAATTAACTGAGAAATCTCTGTTTAACCGACTGATCCAAAAGAACAGAAATGTAAAATATTATTAGTGGTGTCCGTTTGTTGTATACCTGTACGCCTGCTCCATAGTATTGTATTTTTTATAGCATATCGTCATTGCTAACATGGTGATACGTTAAATGATGGTAATCAAGCAGTTCAGACGCGTATTTTTTTATTGTTATAACAAAATATCAGTGACTTGCTCTTCTTCACAATTTTTCTTTTCATACTCTTCACTCAATTAAATTTTTATGTGTTAATTTTTTTATATAGGTCCATCAAAACCAAAAGTTTTCTTTTACACGTTGTGTACTTCTTCTGTAATATTTTTAGACCTAATTCCAATGTTTTTTTTTTTACATTAAAAAGTTTTTGACTGCGAAATAAAGTTTTATTTAAAATGAAAACCAACGTACAAATATGTATATCTATCTGGTGGTACAACCAATAAAAAATAAGTATAACTTCTCTCACTTTTAAGTTATAATAAGCTCAAGGTTACACTTGAATAGCGCTTGCCGCTGTCCGCTCCTATTGAGACGAAAAAACATAAGCATTTATACTTTATTATGTATATTCTATGCAAATAACATGGCCGTTATATATTTAGACGTTAGCGACATTATGATTCTGTCCACTTATGTGGCTGCCATAATAAAAATTGTTTTTGTCGCGTTTTTTGTTAATGTTCTATGTACTAAAGCGCTCAGTAATCTTTCTTTTGCAACATTAATCGTTTTTTTTGTCGCCGCGAAAAGCTCCAAACTAAAATATTTTTAAAACGTTGCTAAGGTGCAACATTTTAATTTAATATTTACCATCTCATCTGGAAAGTAACAAAGCAATTGATTCTATTACACTAGTTCAAGGAATCGATTATTTTTTCTAAGCTTAAACCAATAAAAGAATAATACTTGTAAAGTGTAGTAAATCTATGTCGAAAGTTGAAGCTTAATTTAAGCAAGAGGAAAATCATCGTAAAAGACAATATTAAAGAGTGACTTCTTTCAATACTTAACAAATAGAGCTTCTCGAATCGTTACCAACGATACCTAACGAAAAATTATAGACCGTATGCTTTTATCGCTTAGGGATAGTGAAAATTGAATGTAGCATTGTCAAGCCCCTGAGTACAGTAAAGAAGCTTGTTAAACCTGCCAGATTTCTGCCAATATTTGTTGTAATTAGTGCCTGTTGGAAAACGATCTATTGTTTTTACGAATTAGTTACGAGTTAATCTGACAATTTATTAAGAGTTAGCTGTTGTCAATGAACATAACTGCATTTCATCCAAAGTATTAAAACGATTATTACGTACAGGGGTCAGGAGAACGTCATCAGATTTTCATGTAATGTTAATAGGATTATTAATAAAAACATCTCCACCGTTGTTGAGCAAAAATATGAACAAATTGAACGTAGAATGTCGTCCTATAAAACTTGACTTTTTAACTGACGAATTACATTCTTTTATAACCCTCCCATTATTCTTAATTAAACTTTTTGCTTGAGGTCTTGACAGCCTTAAACACATCTATCGTGAATCATTATTAAATACTTATGTGTAGTTTTAAACCTTATCATATAAGTCTATTCACAAATTGTTTTTGTTAACTTACCCCATAACAAACGCATAATGACTACACCAATACGTTGTTCGGAAAGTGCATACTGATTTCAAATAGGCGCATGAGGAGAGACCTCAATATATTGTAATCATTGAAATCACACGCCTATGCCATTAATTCAGCCATATTTGGAAAATAGTTTGATACCATTCGTTAATTTTTTATCAGTTTTATACGCTTTACCGTAGGTTTCTGATACCAAAATATCCGTTTAGAACATATTGTTATCTCAGTTTTAGCGATATGTTTTGTACGGAGATTTTGATCTCAGAAACCAACGGGCAGGCATTTTTGCTTTCCTTTGTATGAAAGGGTAAAAATGTCACAAAAGCGGCGAATAAGATATGCGCTGTTTATGGCGACAGTCAGTAACTGCCCAAGTTAATTCGCCCTCGGGTTTCCAGCTTTTTCGGCCATTACAAAGATTTCTTTAGAAATGCGAATAATTTCCACTTTTTGGTTATGAAAAAGCTCTCTTAAACAATTTTATGTCGAAAAACCTTAGAGGTTTTGAAACAAAATGGTACCTATATATAGTTTAATAAATCTAGTTGTTTTAGAAATTTTTCCATTTGTTCTTAGGACAAAGATGTAGCCTCCTAATTTATCAAGCTAAGTCGTCGAAAGTGTAGAACATCAAACGTACTCAAAAAGCTACCCTTTCCCTAAATGTTCTCATCCGTGTAAGTGTACAATGAAATTACCAAATGTTAATTCTTAATATTTAAACAAAACAAACGATTTAAATGAAAAAGCTTCGTAAAAATTATCATCTTATTATCTTTTTATTTACACTTTGCAAAGTTAATGTAATGTCAAGACTAACAAGAAGAATTGTGGTACTTACATAATATATGTGTGTGCACGTAACAGCTAATTTCTTTATTAATCTATCTCCATTTTCTTGTAGAACCATAACAGGGTATCGTTTTCAAAATGTTCATATATAACATTTTTTGGTTTATTTCTAAAGCGATTAAATATTTACAAGTTTACCTATTGTATCTATCAACTATATTTAATATATCCTAAACAACACTTGTAATAATTTGAATAAACAAACTTAACTTCTTACTTAAAACCTCACATTCAAACTCTTTCCGCGTCTAAACAATGTAGAAACGATCCTTTCTTAAACATTTTCGTTTCATAGAAAAAATATCAATATCGTAAATAAATATTTTTTTAATAACTACCTCCTATTTTATTTTATATTGAAAAGACTCTTTTAATATCAAGTATATATATACACTTAAGTTTGAATTTTGAACACCGGGCTAGTTAAGATTATCGCATTAAAACTTTCATACAATCTTTACTCATTTCTCGTCATCACCAGTGTAACTGCCACACTCAAATATTCTGAATATGGTAGTGCTTAGTGCTTACATACATACTTGAGCAGATCCTTAGGTAGATTCCCACACAAATCTACAAATTGTGGCAGTTTGTTATGAGCAGAGTTAACATACCTATATATGTCCAATATTTTTTGAAACAAATTAGTAGTTATAGTTAACAATTTTCTCAAAAGTATTATTTTTATTCTGGCAATTCCTACTACTGCTACCGCGCGCCAACGTGGTACAAAGTTTTACAAGTTGCCAAGTGCTATCGTTCAAAATATTCTTTCCTTTCAAAGTTTGACGCTTGATGACGGTTTAAATTGGTTCAGAAAATTTATTCGAATATCCGTCAAGTAAAACTTTTATCTCAGATAATTTGTTCTGAATATTTATTACAGAGGTAATTATATTGACACAAAATACTATTAAGTATCGTTAAGGTTTACTAAAATTGTGACATTAGTATATTTTCTTCTAACCTATAATATTTCATGAAACCTTGAAAAGAGCAGGTAACTAATAAATTGACTATAAACTGTGTCTTCAGTTAATTAATAAATAAATATATATTTCGTTCATGTTAACAGTCTATTTTTTCATTCGAAACTTGTTACTATTTTATACTTTCTCCGCCGACTAAAGTGCTTATCAAAATATGCTTTAGGAACCTCTAGTATCATTGCAATTAATTTTTAAAATATTTCGCAAATAAAAGAACAAAAACAATTTTAAATCAAATTAATGTGCGGTAGTTTGAATTTATTACTGTTAGGATTTGGCTTCACACTATTATAATTTTTTAGACACATTATTATATACATGGTCATAAGATAAAACCTACATTAAATTAAAAACATTTTACCCTCTGAATGATACATAGACTAATTATTAAATGTTAAACTACACACTTCACAGCTCTAGTTAAAAATTATTTTTTTTTCAGAAAATGTCTGCCCTTATTCATGAAAAGATATGGCTGGATAAAACCACCTATAATGATGCTGAGAAGAATTATTATGAATCAATATCTAAGGTAACATTATTAATTTTCCCATACTAGCAAAAGAGCAATGTTTTACGGGTAAGGTATTACACTCATCTGAAATGTGTCATATTGATATTATATCCTTAAATACTGTGGTAATTATGTGTTCAGTCTGATGTACAGAAAGGGAAAGAGCATTAAATACTATTTAACATATAAAAACTAAGAATAAATATATTGTATTTGATAATGTATGAAATTTTTAGGCTCAAAACCCACAAAGTGGTTCAGTCTTAATTGGGAATTCTTCATTAGCCAGTGAGGTTGCAAAAGCCAGGCAACATATCAAAAACTCCTTAGAATGTGTAAGTAAATTAAGAAGTTTACAATTGTAGAATTGGGCAAAAGCAGGTTTGATGTTATCTTAATTAGTTCTATTTAAAAATTGCAAAATCTGAAAATATCATTATCATAGCCATACATTCACTGCTAAGCATAGACCTCAAACAATGTTGAATATCAATTGTGGAATTAGGTTTTACACTTTTTGCTGTATTTGACTCACTTTTAAATTATAGACTTGATCTTGTAAATATTTACAACAAACATTCATCTTTTAAGCTTTTTCTAAGTAATTTTTAGAGGAGCAGCCATGTCCTAATCTCCCATCTATTTATTTATAGGCACTCTTTTAGGGAACACCTGCTTTAACACTGATAACTTTGACATTTTCTCACATTATTTAGAAAATAATTATATATGTTTCATGTTTATTGTTATTTAAGGTTGGTTTTTTTTAAGTAGTAAAGGATTTTCTAAGCAATTATAAATTAAAAAAAATAAGCTAAAACATTATGTATAAACCTGTTCACAGACACTATGTGAGTGGAATAAAGTCAGGGAAATGATGAATTACATATATTCACAGCCAAATACTTTGTGTTTTATTATCAACTCTCAGCCAAGAAATTTTATTTTTTAAAAGACCATGATCATAACTATTACTAAATATGAAATTTTTATAGTTGTACATAATTTACATTTCATTCATTCAAAGTAACATTGTTATATTACAGATGGATAGTGTTGCCACTCTTGCTGGTGTACCAAACACAGAACTTTTTAATAAATTAAATAACTTGGAAAAAGAAAATGTCGATTTAAAGAAAGCAATTGATGATTTGCGCAAGTTAGTGCTTGGCCTTCAAGCTAGAGTAGACTCCCTGGAAACAAAGGCTCCCAAAAGTGTACAGCCAGTAGCACCAACCCAGAGCCAGGTAAGTTGCTTTTTAAAATATTGAGTAAACTTTAATGAAAATAAATTTTCTTTAAAATTATATGAAAATATTGACTTGTCCGTAACCTTGTCCGCACAGAAATAATAAAAAATAGTTATACAGCTTGTGATTACCCAGGGATAGTGTAGCTTCGCAACAGCAAACAATTAAATATTTCTTTATAATATTGTCTTGTTTTTGTATTCCTTCAAATATAAAAATTTGTAGCAGGCAGCAGACAAGGAAGATTCAGATGATGGTGTTGATTTGTTTGGGTCTGATGATGAAGAGGAAAGTGCAGAAGCTGCAAAACTAAGGGAAGAGCGCTTAGCTGCATACAATGCAAAGAAATCTAAGAGTATGTATTTGTTTTTATATGCATTATACTGAATTAATTTAAACCCCAATAGCATTTAAAAGTGTACAGAAAAAAACCTATTCTTTAGTGTAATTTTTCTTTGTCATGAATTATAGTAACTTTAATTTTTTTATTGTTTTAGAACCTGTTTTGATTGCAAAATCTAATATTATATTGGATGTCAAACCTTGGGATGATGAAACTGATATGGCGGAAATGGAAAAAGCAGTGAGACTAATTAACACAGATGGTCTGCTTTGGGGAGCTGCAAAACTTGTTCCATTAGCTTTTGGCATTCACAAGTTACAAATTTCTTGTGTTGTGGAAGATGACAAAGTTTCTGTTGATTGGCTTGTAGAAGAAATAGAAAAAATTGAAGACTTCGTAAGTTATTTTCTCCAATTTTATTTGTTATTTATTTATATATGTAGTTATAGTTCAATAAATATAATTATATAATTATATGTTTATATGCACAGGTATAATAATCGATTTAAATCAATTACCTACTAAAACATTATACTTTTTTACAGGTTCAGAGTGTCGATATTGCTGCCTTCAATAAAGTTTAACTTCTGTTCCTTTTTTAAAGACAATAGAATTTTATAAATCTATATAGCTTCGTTTTTATTTTCTTTCTGTTTACATAAATACAAAATACCATATCCTATAGACAGTATTTGTGACCAAAGATTTGTAATGGAGTCACATACTAGAATAGTACAACAAAAGGGTCCTGCCTTTATTCAACTACGAATTAATTTCATGTAAATACAATTCCATAAAAGAAAAAATTGTTGCATTGACATTGTTGATTTTTACCAGACCGGGTACATTGTGTAAGAAAACCCGTGTTTGTATGGAAGTTTACCGGTGGGTCGTAGAACTACTTAAATAAAAGAAACATTTTCTTAACTTTCGCAAAACAGCTCTGTTTTAAGTTTAACTATAATTATTGCCGGTACAAATAATTGTAACCAATGATTTTTTTAATTATTTTTCTTTTAAAAAGTATGTTCGGAATCGTATGCACAGTCCTTACACTAAAAAGTAAATTTCTAAAAAGAATATTTACTATAGATTTTTGAAAACCTACGGACGGCAAGGGTTGCTGTAGTAGGCCGTAGATTTCCTTGAATTTGTTACTTCGACTACCGTATATCCATTTTTATATTATTTTATATACTCTTTGGTATATCATTGATTCCTGTAGAATTGGCAACACTATTGATGTATTGACGTAAAGTGTTGCAATATGATAGGGGATTTTGGCGCACCCAAGACATATTACCAGTTATTGGTCAAGTATCAAAGAGTTTATAGTCAAGTATACTTAAAATTACTTTACCCTGAGTATTGTGAAAATTATTGCAGAGCGTGATTTTAGTAAATTGCGTGTCAAATGCTATTCTTTTATTTTTATCTTATGGTAACAATTCTTGTTCAAAAAAGCAAGATAATTTATTTATGGTTCTCTTATCTATATTTACTTTATCTATGGTCTAACCTAAAATTAATACATGATTACAAAAATCTCCATATTATTTTTTTTTAGCAACACAATTATTCACAATTTTTTATAAAATATTCGCAATAATATAAAAATGCATTGCAAAAAATGTAAAGACCACGGATCTCTGACTATACGTAAAGAACACGTATATTGCGTTAATTGTTTCATGATAAATGTAAATCATAAATTTAGAGCATGTATTGGAAAAAACAAAATTTTATCATCCAATGAAAAGGTTTTGGTTTGTCTGACTGGGGGGCAAAGTTCCACAGTATTACTGGACTTGATTTATAATGGTTTACTTCAAGATAGTCATAAAAAATTAAGAATAATCCCATTTTTCTTGCACCTCACAGGTAAAAAAATATTAGTACTTATTGTCCTTTCCATTCAAGATTCTCTCTATCACTGTGGCAGAACTTTGCCTACTAATATAAGTTAAAGTATTTACCCCTCTCAAAATAAAGACTGATTCCATTTGAAAATGCTCAATTGTCTTAGTATTCTACAATTGTTATTTTTAGAATTTTTCTTCACATTTTCCTTACCAAACATGATAAAGCACAGGTGATGATTATGTTTATTTTATTGTTGACAAATGAGGCTCTGGCACTTGTAGGCGACTTTAGTTTATATTTGTTTTTAGGATTTGGAGAGAAGGAAACCGATCATAAGGTTGCGGAATTAGTCATTAACCAATGCAAATCCTATGAATTTAATGTTTACATTGTAAACATTAGTAAATTCTACTTTCAAAAATCAAATACTCTGCCTAATATAAACAATTTATCTGAGACAAATACTGAAGAAGATTTAAAGACAAATCTAAAAAATATATTAAACAAAGTGACTCCAACATCAAGCAATGATATAGAAATGAAAATAAAACATGATACATTCAGACGAGTAGCTAAAGAATGTCAGTGTAATTTTATTTTCACGGCAGAAACTACAACAACATTGGCAGTTAACTTGCTCTCTAATCTTGCAATTGGACGAGGATCACAAGTAGAATATGATATTGTAAGTTCTATTCAAATAAATATGTCTAAAAACAAAACCATTCAAACATAATTATTGCAAAAGATGTGTTTGTAGGGTTTTTCAGATAACCGTGATGAAATAAAAATTCTGAGACCAATAAAGGATATAACTGAAGAGGAATTACATCACTATATACAAATAAAGAACCTCCCCCACATATCAGTTGATAAAATTCAAGAAAATAGTCTTCAATCAGTTATAAAAAAATTTGTGTGGGATCTACAGGAGAATTTCCCAGCTACTGTGTCAACTGTATGTAAAACTGCTGATAAAATTGGAGCAATTGAGAAAAGTGATAAAAGATGTCAATTTTGTAAAGTAAGATTATACTATTTTATTTTCCTTAAAAATAATTCCTTTTCAAACAATTTTTGCTTCCATATCTAGGATTTGGGCAATTGAACTTTTTTTCTAACTTTTATTATGAATTAGAAATAATTATGAATTACTCAGATTTAAAATGTCTCTTTTTTGTTTTAGAGCTCCCTTGCTTCAAATAATGAAAAACTTACAGCAATGGAGGCGACAAACTTTTCAAGAACAGTTTCAAACTTTCATCCCGGACAAAATTTAAATGAAACTAGACCAATAGAATCCACTAATGAGTATGACTCATCAATGTTCCCCTTCATAAATAAATATTTTTGTTATTGTTGTAGTAGGAATTATTTGGAGTTAGGAAACCAAAATAGCAATCTATTTAAAGATGAAAAATAAAAATAAAAATATGCTGTCAAGCTAGTTCTCAGTATAGATCTAATTTTATTAAGGATTTGTAATTAACTCATTACCAAATGTAATTTCAACTCAAATAAATCATTGAAAGAATGTTATTTTACTATTTCATAAGTTTGTAATGATGAATAGCAGAATTGCGCTAGATTTTGCAGTTTCAGGATGTTCCATATTTTCAGTACCTCCATGATCTAGCTGCATTTGAACGCAGAACAATACTGACAGACACGCCTTATTTGTAATGGTGGGGAATGTACTCAACTACTTCTACAGGTCATGTTTTTGGTAGCTAAATACCTTACTTTCCCAGATATTATTACTACAGAACAACCCCTTATTCTCTCTAATAAGTTTAATTTATGTAATTAAGTATATCGACGTATGGCCGTTCCTGCGTTTCATATAAGTCCATTAGTCGTTGATTTAGCCTTGAGTTAGTACCTTATATAAAAAGATTGGTCGAGCGCCGCGCACCGACCTGCCCCACAATGGCCTCTCAGGCAATACTGAGCATTTTGTGGCGCCCTCTTTACGACAAAGAAAATCCACGGCGGTCATAGTATTTGTATTTAGGTTATATCATTTTTTTATAACGAAAAGTGTTCGAATGAAGGTATAAAACCAAGTTGGCTTTTGATGAATTATTTTTAGACTATAGCTTCCAGTAAAAACTGATTAATGTATCTTCGTTACCTTCGACTCAGTATTAATGTAACTCCTTTGGACTCCTTCTACAATCTTTAAAAAAAGTTATACACTTATTCATATGTATATTAATAAAAATAAAAAAGAACAAGCACAATATATAAAATGTAGTATGCTTGTTGTGAACTTTACAATTTTATCATCTGTTCCATCAAGTAACAGAACAACATCAAAATACAATAAATATGCTGCAACCATTCTGTGTCGTGGATGCCTGCCTCTTCTAAACAGTAACAATCAGAAAAGAAAGACAAAATTATAGTTTGTTTCCTCTAAGTCAACAATTGCAGAAGTCCTAGCATGTTAAAACACAAAAACATGGCAGCAACACAGGGAAAAGTATTATCTAATTTAATATTTCTTGTAATTAATACAAAAAAAACCGAAGACAAAGTCCAGGCAAAGTTAGTCTGTTTATTAAGAAAATTTTGATGCAACAACTTGAAGTTATCACACTAAAAATAAATTATAACCATTGCAGTCCATCATCGACGTTCATGTTAACGATAGACTCGATTGATCTATATGTGTAGGGACAGCTAACATAACTTACTAAAATATTCTAATAGAAGCAATATTCATTTTGACATTACTACTTTTTATCATGTAATAAAAAGAAACGTTTACGTCTTAAAATTTTGTATTTATATTACACATATCTACATTTTGCTTTTATTACATAAATACAAAATTTTAATAGCAGTACCAACAAAATGTTTCTAACCAGTATTTCTCAATCTGTATGAAGGTGTTACCAATATTATATCATACAAGTAATTACAATATCAATACCATATAGGTTAATAAATGCAAAAGATCAAGTGCAATCAAACTCCAAATGTTTTCCTTTACCTCAATAATTAATATTGAACTTCATAAAAAAGATGGATATTGAACTTTAACTGTAAAATTTCGAAACCACCGTAAAATATTGAAAGTAATAGCTTGATACACTTTCATGGACTTAGTAGTTTGTACCGGAGAAAAACACTTTAAAACAACGAATAAACCTGATATTTACTAACATTAAACACTAAATCATATTGTCTTTCCAAATTAATTCATTTTGCAAACATTGGAATTCCTTTTGTTATCAGTTTGGGTTGGAACAGAGATGACTTCACTGTGCCCCTTGCCGTCTCTTCCTACAGTGGACTGAAGTGTTTGTGTTGTCTCTGTCACGGATCTCGTCTGGAACCTTGTACAAGTAAATATTCAATATATAGTGTTTATAAAGAGCATTACTGAGTTTATTAACGATTATTCCGTAGCATTTATTGGTCCTTGTAGTGCATTAGGAGTTGGAGAGTTGGATGACACCATTCGACCCTGCTCTTTCACAATGGGATCTGTAACAATAGGCACTTGTGAAATTGATGTCACAAACTAAAATAAAGTTTACAAAGATATTAAGCACACTTATAAAAATTCAAATATGACTCTTGACTTTAATAAAAAAAAAATTAGATAAGTTTACATATGACATACGTGGGAAAATAATGTGAAATCAGTGAGGTCATGTTAAGGGTTAATGTTACCGTAAAGTTGAGTCATGACACAAGTTTTCTCTTAGTGTCAATATACATTAACTTGACTGGAAGAAAGACTAAGCTGAGGAAACAAGATTTCTGTGGTTTGACCAACATTAATTCAACTCTACAATTAACACATTATGATTGCTGTTGTTGGGTAAATACATTATACTATAATATGTATAAAACTTATTAACTTTATTGGTAAAATTATACTCACAGAAATAAGGATGATCCATGGCTTCTCGAGCAGTATAACGCTCGTAATGATCATAACGTAACAAACGATCAAGGAAGTCTAAAGCTTCAGCAGATACCAGATGTTGGTTTTCAGAATGAACAAATCGCTCCCACCGTTTACGTGAATGCCTGTGAACACAAAAATAATTTTTGGAGTTACTGTCACATTCAAAAAATGTATGATACATTTAAATATTAGCATCACCCACCTTCCAAGAATATCATTAAATCGAGGATCCAATTCTATATGATATTTGTCCAAATATTCAAATAATTCTTCAGTGCCCAGCACTTTCGCAATACGCACAAGTTGGTCATAATTATCATGACCATGGAAGAATGGTTCCTTACGGAATATCATAGACGCCAACATGCACCCTAATGACCACATGTCCAGTGAGTAGTCATACATTTGATAATCAACCAAAAGTTCTGGACCCTGAAATTGGATTAGAAAAACAATTAAATTTACACAACTAAATTGACAAGATTCATGTAAAAAAAGCACAATTTGCAAGTCATATTAATTTATAGTAAAAATATATTGATCTAGTTGACTGAAGGCAATAATCTCAGATGGGTCTTTGTAGTCTATAATTAGCCGAGTTACAGATTATCCTGTAATACATAGTGGGCAGTAAGAGACTATAGTTTCTACATCAGCATTACTAGCACATATTTGAGTGGTACATGTATATAGTTAAAAGAAAAAACACTTAATAGGTAATAATTGCAGTTTTTCATTTCTCAACCATAACAAATCTAAATTAAACCCATAGAATATAAACTATACTAAAATTATCAGAATCAGTTTTCACAAAACAGTAACAAACTAACATATTTTGCTGAATAAGTTAACAAATTATGCTAATATAACACTTTAATTACTCTAATAACTTCATTTGCTATAGAAGAGGCTTAGCTTAGATAAGCCTATGGCATCTGTCTAGCATTGTGCAGTGATATGAGTATTACTATAATAAATATAAAAATATGCAAAATGACAAGAAACTATAAGACTACTAACAGCAATCAAAAATATTGTATACCTTACCTTAAAGTATCTAGAAGCAACACGAACATTATACTCTTGTCCGGGATGGTAGAACTCTGCTAAGCCCCAGTCAATGAGACGTAACTTTCTATTATCATGATCAATCATAACATTGTGAGGCTTCACATCTCTGTGCATAATACCCATACTGTGGCAGTAATCTAATGCCTTCAGTAGTTCATACAAATAATACCTTAAAAAATTATAAGATATTGAACATCACAGATGTATATGTATATTAACTATATTCAGTGTATGCATATTTACCTTATATCATAATCTGACAGTGTTTGATAAAGTTGTTTAAAATCAGTGTTGTTCACATGTTCAAAAATTAAAGCTGGCGTACGAGATACAGGATCTTTAACTACAGCTTGTAAAGTTATTATATTAGTGCCACCTCTTAAGTTTTCTAATATCTTTATCTCTCTTTTTATCTTCTTCTTTTTAACGGGCTATAAAACAATAAAACATTAAATGAGCTATTTGAAAATGTTTAAATACCAATTGATGTTATTATTTTTAATTAGAGTTGTAAAGTCTCATACTACTTTATGTACTGTACATTTAAAATTCAAGGCATGTGTTTCACATCTATATATTAATTATTAATTAATGCAAGATTTTTTTCTACTGTGAATAAAAAATAAAAGGAATATACAAATATTAGTAACTTACCTTCAATATTTTAACTACACATTTCTCATTATTTGTGATATTTATTGCCTCAAATACTTCACTATATTTCCCGCGCCCAAGCTTCCGTACTAGCTGATAATCCTCCTGATTACCCCAGTCGACCACATAGCTTTCATAGTCCCAATATTCTCGTGGCTTTTGTGAATTAACATCGGCATATACCCGGGCTCTACTAGGTAATGCCATCGTTTTATACCTTTGCCAACCTAAGGTTTTATCGACGATATTCTTACCGGAAATCGCATATGTCTTGAGTAATGATACTGTGAATAAAAATATTTTCGACGTCACTTTTAAAGATCACTAAATCACACTTGCCTAATATAATTTTAATCATTGAAGTCGTCACTGGGAATCATTATTAGCGATTACGAACGATTACGAGTCACTTGTATTGATGTATAACCTAAAAACGACATCCAGCTCAATAGTTGCTGCCAAACTTTACAAATTGATTAAAAACTCGAAAGGGTACAAAAAATATATCTAAGTAACTTTACAATAAGGCTTACAAATAAGTTAGAACTACTCATAAAATGATGACATGAAATAAAATTTAAAAGTCTTCGTACAGAAAAACGCACGCCATTATTCGTCAAATGATCAAATGGTTCGGTAAAATATCCATACCTAACACATTACTGAGGTTAATCCTATATTAAATATTAAATAGTAGAAGCATACGTAAACTTCTTGAAAATTAACAAGTAAAGTGAAGTCCGATCTATAAAATACACTTTTATCACATAACCGGCACAAATTCAGCAAAATTCAAGATGGACGCCTATCCATCCATCTAATATACCAAAGTACAACGAAAGTACACCGTCCACAACTGGCACTTCTTTACTACAGTCTGAGCTAAAATTGTTGTCT